TCTGTAGTCTAGTTATTTGCCTAAATAGACAATAATATAATTAAGGTGTTTACGTGAAGTGCTTTTATGTAAGAGTTTCCTGTAATTTTGAGTGTGACTTTAACTGCAGTTCGGCACTTTCACTCATGAACGTTTCATTCTTGCCGCCGTGACAAACCAGGGTATTAGACACAAATAAGGATTGGTGAGAGTGTTATGGAATTTAATAACGCACGCCAAATGGAAAGAAAAAAAAAACTACCACATTTCGTGATGTGTGTGTGTGTGTGTGTGCATGTGTGTGTGCGTGTGTGTGTGTGCATGTGTGTGTGCGTGCGCGGTTCATTATTTACAGCTGCGTGTGTGGATCTTGTGGGAAAATATATTCATACTCCATGACTTAATTCCATTTCTGTTCTGTTCAGTTATGACTTTAGTTGGATTAAGGTGATCAAAAATCGCTGTTTCGAGCTTATTTAGGCCTACAATTCAAAATTTATGTTTAACTATAGAACTTATAGAACATCATTTATTTTCATCACCAATTATCATAGTAACAGTTTCTCAAGCAGTTTGTGATGCATTTTGGAAACAGGAGATGAGCCCCTGGTATAATGCGCCACCTTGCTTGAAAAATCCGTTCTCAAAGACTTACTTTTAGTCGTTATTTGGGTAGCACACATATTCTGCATGCCTTCAAATGAGCCATTTTAATCTACATTAATCTAGATTAATTACATTAATCTAGATTACAGTGAGATTAATATAGATTAAACAAAATGTATCTGCATGTGTCCACCTATAATATATACATTTTTGATGTTATGTAAATTCTACCACATAGAAGTCTGTCATTCAGCAAAGCAGCAGCTTATTCAAATATTAGTATAAATTGGGATAGGATAGAAATTATATAATGTGTAATTATATAATAATAATCTAAGAAAACATGATACACCGTATTTTTAATGTAAAATAATTATGTAGAATTATAAACTATAACATGTATATTTCATTCCTTCATATCATTGTTTACACATTGTGTCTTGGTTTTTCCCCTAATACTGTAAACATCATTTATTACATATTACAAATTTATAATTTTTATTGATAATTTAAAGGATATTCCTGGATTTTCAGCAATATTCTCATCTTTAGGATCACATGGTCCTGTTCCTGCGAGAAATCTGTTATGTAATGTAAAAATCGCTCACTTTTTCCCATACTGTATGTAGGATGTCTGGTAGATCAATTCAGGTCGTAAATCCTCATAAAAAGGTCTGTTTTAACCAAGAAGAGATACAAGCAAATAAGGGAGTAAAACTTAAAGGGAATTTACTCCACTAATGACCCACCCTAATGTGGCTCCTTTATAAGTTTCTTTATTCTGCTAAGCACAAAAGATGATTTTTGGAAGAAAAATGAAAACCTGTAACCATTGACTTTCATAGTAGGAAAAACAAATCGTCACCTTAGAATTATAAGGTTTAATCTGACATTTTTGTCAAAATTGAGTTATTAACATATTCTTATTAAACATCTTACTTACATTATGGCTTGTTTTTTATAAGTTGTTTACATTTTAAGATTTTAAAAAATGCGCGCTGATACACTGGCTTTTATGAGGAAACTTTTTTTCCGCTTTCGCTTTTCAGCCTTTTCCACTGAGCCTTTTCCACTCTCAGTGAATGGCAAATGGAAACGTCCCTTGCCTCAAATCTCTGTGCATTATAAGAAAAACAAAACACAATGTACATTCGGAAGTGTAGCATGCATCCATAACATTTATTTTATTTTATTTTTTTTTGCGCAGCGACCCTACTTTGAATAAGTCTGATTTACTATACAATAAATGGTAACTGCATTTCACAAAAGACAGAGTTTTTTTTTTTTTAATCGCACCTGGATGCTATGAGTATAAACAAGAGACCAAGACCTTAAGTATGGTAAGAATGAATGAATAAATGACAGCTTCTATAACTGTCTGAGAGGAATCCACCTTTTTGCCCAGTAGGCCTATTTTGTGTTTTATTTGCTAAGCTATTTTTTAAAAGATAAATATAATGTATAAAACTATACATTATTTAAATTACTTCCTAATATCTATACATGTAATAAGCTTTTTATATCAATGGACAATGCACAGATATTGCTGTTTCATAATGTTTTTACACTACATTATTTGAATCTACCAAGTTTAATTTACAATGTTTGCAATGTTTACATTGCTCTACTTACATTAAATCTAAATCCAAAATATCAGAAATGACAACAGATTGTTAAGATTTAAATAATGACAGTTTTAATGTTATTGACTAATGCAATTTACAGATTTCATTCATTCATTTTCCGTCTGCTTTTTCCCTGGTTTATCACAGCAGAATGAACCGCCACTGACTTGACAGATTTATATATTTTAATTTCAGGTGGTTTGTGTAATGTGTTTTATATTTGGTAAAATAATTTCTAATTGCATCTTAATTTTCAATTAATTACACTGTTTTGCTTCAATAGGTGGATTTAGAGGGTTTTGCATAAAAAGCAGAAGTGGATTTAGCTGGTTTTGACACAAAAGAAAATTTACCTTGTTAAAAACCAAAGAATTGTCTCAAGTAACATTTAAAAAAAAAAAGGTATTTTAATTACTAGCTAATAACCCTAATATCACATATAAAATGAAATTTCTGAACATAATTATAGGAGCCTGGTATAAAATGCTCATTTACAAGAAAAGATATCTGATGGATGTAGAGGGTTTTGCATCTGAACTTTTCAAATACTATAGGAGTCAATACAGGTTTTTATTTTGTGTTTAAGAGATGGAAATTCATAGGTCTGAAACAAGTAAAGGGTGAGTAAAGGATAACAGAGGATTCCCTTTTGGATGAACTATCCTTCCAAGACCATTAAATTGTCACACTTACCAAAATAATAATAATAATACAACAGATTTTAATCCAAGATGCAAGTGTCTCTTTATTGACTGGAGGTCAAAAATAACAGTGCAAAAGAGACCAAACAGTGAATTTATGTGAGCAATAGTCGTGACAGAATCGTCAGCCAATAGTGTCCAGAAGTCAGCTGAAATCAGGCAAACAGACCAGGTAATCAAATAGTAGCCCATGTGAGTCAAGATACACATGAAAATAAACAAGCAATAACAAACTGACAATCAAACAAAGGATCGCCGCTCAGATATAGCCGTGGTAATTAGCCACAGCTGGTCGGCTAATCAGAACAGCTGATCGGCATAGCAATAAACTATGTAACCACAACAACACTGACACGCCACAATAACCCACGTGGAGGTAAGCAACACAGCCATGTGACAACACAGACAATAATAGAAGTGTGCACTTACATATGATGACATAATTGTGATTTTGGTTTGTTTGTTTGTTTGTTTGTTTGTTTGTTTGTTTTAGTAATTAAAGACATATACTCCTTTGTCCTTTTTTCAAGTAATTTTAGAGTCACTTTAGAAGTTAGATTTTGTTGAATATTACTGTCAAATAATCTAAAAATCAATTTAGCCATATTCTCCATATCTCACACATTGTTGGGACTAAATTTAAGTTCATAATATTTGTATGACTTTTAGTTTGCAATCAATCAATCAGTCAGTCAGTGAGTCAGTGAGTCAGTCAGTCAGTCAATCAGTCAGTCAGTCAGTCAGTCAGTCAGTCAGTCAGTCAGTCAATTAGTCAGTCAGTCAATCAATCAATCAATCAATCAATCAATCAATCAATCAATCAATCAATCAATCAATCAATCATCTTATATTTGTCTTAAAGTAAGGGTTTGATTATGATTTCAAAAGAATTTAATTGAATTACATTATATTTAATCCAATTATGCTAATACTGGAAACTCCAGAAAACATCTGTGTACACATTATGAGAGTTAGGAAAGAAAAAAGTCCCTCTGCCCCTAATGACACCATCATTCTTGTATGAAACAGATATAACACCCCCTGTTTGGAGAGGATTTTGGAAAAGGACAAAAGTATATGCGAGTCTCTATTGTTTGGACATCAGCACTTTCGAAGCGTTCAGAGCACGTGCGGCGGCAGCCCTTTATGCAGTGGTGTCGATTTATGCAGTGTGTGGGCATTTCCTTCGTAATGAACCCTCAGGGGAATGAGGGTTTTGGAGGGAGGGAGGTGGTGGGATTGTAATATTTCCTGCGAGACCAAGCTGAACGACTAGCTCAGCGGCCCGTTCTGTGCCGGGCTTCAATTTTGCGATGACTGAGGGGGGCTCTGGCATGACTTTAACAGCCCTTCTTGAAGTTCACATTTGATATTCCAGCACATCAGAGAAGAGGTCTAACCTTGCCATCGATTTACCCTCTCATTTGGGCTGTCTAATTTGCTGTGGAAGCGAAGGGAAAAGACCCTGCGCTCTGGCAGGGAAAAGCCAATAAGTCGTAGGGACTGCTACGTGTCCTACAATCGATTAGCGCTGTGTGGCTAAAGCCTTGTAGAGTCTCTCTCTCTTTCGCTCTTGTTACGTTCACGGCGCCCCTGGCAATGGACGCGGCCCATCAGTCAAAGCCAACGAATCTCAACTCGACACAGCGAGAGCGCAACATGAGCTGTCAAGTGTATCTGTCAGTGAGTTTGTTCACTCTGGCAGAAAGATTTGTATTGATCTTCGCTCGTGGTTTGGATTTCCCTCTTTGCCCTCATAGACTATTCCTCCTTAAATGGTATAAACAAGACAATGTCACATTTTCTTCCTAAAAGCGTCAGGTTGTTCAGAAACATTAGTGAAGAGTTTGTTGTTTTGCTTCTGACAGGCAATGTCACAGAGTTTCAGAGATGGCCACACGAGTTAGAAAGAGGAGCGATCGATTCAGAGATCAGGTTGCCCGAGGGTTTCTTCCAAAGCTGATGAAAACATGATATAGCAGGCGCACAGAAATAGCCCTGATTCGCTTAATGGACTTGATTGTGCAAGCTTTGTGTTCTACCTGTTTTTGAAAAAGCCTAATCTCTGCCTCTCCTTCAAACCCTTCAGGCGGGGATGATCCGCGCAGGTCAGGAGGAGTTTTTTATCGAGCCACTGGAGAGAGGAGGCGACATGACAGGAGAGGAGGAAGGAGGACCCGGGCGTCATCACATCGTCTACCGCTCCTCTGACATCAAGAAGCCGGCCGTCAATCAGCCCGCTGACTTTCACCCCAGAGGTCAGACCACCTTTATGACACCAGCTCATCATGGAGCGCTGCCGAGAGCTTTCACATGCATGCTGATGACTATAGAGAGAGATGCTGAGTTTCATGCGGTTGACACTACAAAATTATTTGGCTTTCTGAATTATTAGCCCCCTTGGATATTCTTTTGTCACCCAATTTTTGTTTAATGGAGATATTTTTTTTCACATTTCTAAACATAACAGTTTTAATAACTCATTTCTAGTAACTAATTTATTTTATCTTTGCCATGATATTTGACTATATATTTTTCAAGGTACTAGTATTTAGCTTATGTGCAATTCAAAGGGTTTACTTGGTTAATTAGGTTAAAGGTGCAGTAGGTGATCTGTCAAAAAGCTAACCGTTAGCATACTAGCTTTGAAAACACAGTCCCTCAACTGTCGTCCAAAGCCAGACCTCCTGAAATCACGTACGCACACTGTAAAGATAACAGTAGACAACCCATTTGATCATGTCATTCACCAGTTAGAAAATTTATAGTGCTTGATAATAGTATAAATCTGTAGGAAAACTGTATTATATATAGCATGTTTTCAGTTGTGTAGCAAGCAAAACTTGTCATACTGTGCAATATTTTATGTACGCAAGGATCGCTGGTAGGGATGTCCAGATCCAATCACATGATGAGAAATCGGGCCCGATCACGCAGTTTCAGACTCGATCGGAATCGGTCAGGTTACCTCCTGATCAGGACTCAAATATATATATATATATATATATATATATATGTATATATATATATATATATATATTCTCATTATTTTTTAACACATCTATATTTATGCGGTGGCAAAGAGTTAGATCTCTTTCTTGACTTTACACAGAAACTGCAAGCATGCTGCATGACATCACTTTGTTGCAGAGACGCTATTGGTTAAATGCTGGCAGAGAAGAACACGGAAGCAGCTTTAAGCAAAAAATGCGAGTATGTCTGCAGTCTGGAGGTATTATAAAGTTGATGACAACATTGCCATAGCAAACTGTGAGATATGTAAACTCGGGATTGCCAGCTGGCAATTTTAAATTGAGGAGCTATTTGTTTTTATATTCGTTTTTTTTATTTTTTTTTATTATTTAATTTAATTTACTCGCACTAAATTCAAATTTAATTTACTCATGCACTAAAGTCCAAAAGTGAAGAACTTATGTTATCTATTACTTGATTGTTCAAGCTACCTCACAGAAGTACTTTGTTTGTTATCAGAGTTGTTGAAATTTAAAATAAGGTGAATTAAACCAAAAAATAAGAAACATCCTGGAACGTTTTCTTCACTCTTTTCTTTATTATTTTTATGTTTTATAGAAGTATCGGATCGGGTTTCGGTATCGGTCGATTCTCGAAATCAAATGACTCAGACTCGGACTCGAGGGCATAAAAATCTTATTGGGACATCCCTAATTGCTGGTCTCACTCTCTCACGCTTTGTCCTGAAGCCATTTTGCTTAGCAAGCCATGTGCAAGCTACAAGGCTAGGGGGATTAGCGCTATTTACTAAAGTTTTGCTGTTAAACTAAATAAAAATCCACATTATTGATGTTGTAAAAGGACCTCATAAAAACTGAAAATAGTCACATCACATCACTATTTCATTGGCTGAACAACACTTCTGTGCATATAACCCATTTGTAAAACAACACCATCTACATAAGCTTTGGGGGACTAAAATAGTTTCAAAACAGAACATTACCTGTCTCACAGAAATACTTCAGCCATGGTGCTGTTCTTCCTCCAGTGCAAAAGTAACACCTATATTGATTCAGGATTTGGAAAAAAATTAATTCAGCATATGTTTTTACTGCTGTCACTCTCTCGTGTGCACAAACCTTAACATCTGTCTGTGTGAACAGTGGTGTGCAGCAGTGGCATTGCGAGGGGGGTGCGGGGTATGTCTTTGCCCCTGATGTATTGTCAAAAAAACCCTGATCTTTTGGAATATGCTGCACTTAAATAAAAATAGGTTGTATAACATTTATTTTCTTATCTAAGTACTTAAAATGACCACATACATCACGTGCATTCCACTTAATGCAGTGTGTGTCAGGTAATTAAATAGTCAGCTGTTCAGCAGTACCTGTTTCTACCGGCAGGTGGGAGTGGCACTGTTGTCACATGGTGCTAAAATAAATCCCGCCACTGCACTGTCATCATTCATTCATTGTTTTGAGGAGCTGAAGCTGGTGAGGTAATAATACAACTGTTTTGCGAAACTGAATAGTTGTAACTACTGATGAAGCTTAATATTTATTTTCACAGTATAAAATGTGTGCAGTTTTGGTGAAATAAAATAACTGTCATCAATAAAATGTGCATCATATAAATGTAAATAAATGCGAATTAGTCATAAAAATGTAAATTGTACTAGCCTTCTAGATATGATATAGATATCTAGGCATATTTATCTATGATATAGCCAGTCACATCTGTTTCTGTAATAGTTAAATCACAGTGAGTCCATGCATTAAGCATATTATTTATAGCTATATTCTACTGTAACATGCTATGTCAGTTAGCATCGGATTACACAGTAAATCGATACCTAAGATGGCTGAAAGAACACATAAACCATTTATTGTCGCTGTCATGTAAATGATCAGTTAAAGCCATTTTATGTTTATTCAGATCTTATTTCTTTATTTAACTACAGCAATAGCTGGATGCCTTCATCCATATTTGGGATTTCCTGGAATATTCTACTTATTTTGTGAGGCATATATGGAATTTCTGCTCAAGTATGAATAAAACAGGCGTTACAAGCATTAAAGTGCTACAATGCCTACATTAACCCTATTTTGAGGAAAGCTAAAAAAAATCTCCCTCTAAAGAAATTTGAAGTAAACATATTTCTAGCACATAGATCATTATTTTTTTATACTAGTCGGTTGGGTTTAGGGAAGGGGGTTGGTGGGTCAATTGGTCCTTTTTAAAAATCTATTGGTTGGGTTTAGAGAAGGGGGAAGGTGGGTGGATCGATCAGTTGGACAGTCAGTTAACAGCAGCCTTTGGTGGATTTAAGTAAGAACAGCAGGTGCAAATGAGTTGGAACCAATGAGGAGCCTGGGTTGGAACCATTGTAGATGAGATTCAGGAGTGGACAGAATGTTTGAGTGCACAAAAGATTTGGTGCTATGTTAAATGAGCAAGGACAAAATAAACATATTATTTTTATTATTAGGAAACATATTCTTCCAAATTATTTCCATAATAGTCCAGAGGCAAATACTAGCTTAATGTCAGCATGAAAGTGTAGTTGGGATATGCAGTATTTGTATTTGATTATATATATATATATATATATATATATATATATATATATATATATATATATATATATATATATATAATCATAAGCTGACAGTTAAACAGTTGAGCGTGCATCTTTTAAACTGTCTGCTTTTTGTTGGCTGTATGTGGGCGGAGTAATACACAAAGGGTAAGAGGCTGTAGGAGTTCTGATATTGCAGAATATCGCACGGCTATCAGCCAATCAGATTCGAGAACCAGACAGAACTGTTGTGTATATATATATATATATATATATATATATATATATATATATATATATATATATATATATATATATATATATATATATATGAACTACTCTGCAATTATTATCAAATCTCGTGTCTCAACTACTGTATATAAACTAGTAGACAAGTTGACAACTGGAATTCTCAAGTGAAATTCACAAAAGCGACCATGCTGGTATTTTTCTTTGGGGAGAGATAAACTGGAAATGAGTGTTAAAATGATATGTGAAGCACATAAAATTTTAACGCATGGTAAATGTAGCCTCTTAGCAAACATTTGCAGTCTTTGCAAATACTGCATAGGCTTTATCCATTTGATGCAGTGAATTTAGCTGTCTAAAAGCCATGTCTTGTAGTATTAAAGAAAAGGTTGAAAATTGAAATGAAAGTTCGGATGAATGAATAATGACAGAGATGAACTTCATTTTTGGTTGAACTATTCCTAACTGAATGCTCTGGAGCAGGATAAAGCGAGGAAAGTTCTCCAGGGCTGAGTCATTGGTCTTCCACCCCCGTCTCTGTCTCTCTCAGCATCCCGTGTGAGACGTGTGAGGAAAGGAGCTGCAGAGTGACTGGATAAAGTCATAAACTTCTCTAAAAAGGATTCACATGTCACATTGAGTTTGAGCGGTCGAGTTCAGCCGGGGGATATGGAGAGGCTTGACATGCGTCACAGTCCCTTCGTGTTTTTAATTTTTCTTTCCAGACTCTTTGTTTTGGAGAGCTGCATGAAATGCTTAACTGCAGTACTGCATAACAGAGCCGTGTTTGACAGAAAAACTCAACATCTTGCAGGTCCTTTTAAAAGGAATTATAAGAGTAGCTGTGTAATCTATCATTACCAGTGTTGGGCACTTTTAAAAAGCAATACTGTTTTAATGTGTACGTTTTGTTTTACTTTCTGCCCAAACCTAGGTTTGTTTCAAATATTGTGCATAATTCCTTCTTATAGTCTTCAATGGCTGCCTGTGGTCAATGTCGACTTTGAATCTCAAAGACAGTTGTAGCTGAGATCTGGAATATAGTGGTCCCTCGTTATTTTTTGGAGTTCCGTTCTAAAAATAACCCACAATAGGCGAAATCCGCAAAGTGGTCAGCTTTATTTCTTTTACGATTATTATACAGAGTGGGCAATTTCTTTAGATACACCTTAATAAAATGGGAATAGTTGATGATATTAACGTCCTGTTTGTGGCACATTAGTATATGTGAGGGGGCAAACTTTTCAAGATGGGTGGTGACCATGGTGGCCGTTTGGAAGTTGGCTGTCTTGGATCCAACTTGTTTTTTTAATAGGAAGAGAGTCATTTGACGCATCAAACTTATTGGGAATTTCACAAGAAAAACAATGGTTTTAACGTAGCTTTATTGTTTATTTACAAGTTTCTGACCACTTCTAAAATGTGTTGAATGTGCTGCCCATTGTGTTGGATTGTCAA